AAAAATAAAAAAAAAAAAAAAAAAAAAAAACTAAACCTCCACAAAAGCACAGCATGACAGAGCTCTGAATATTACTTTAGATGTTTAGTAGCATCAAATTCTTTTCAACAGCAGCCGAACAGTAACTCACATCTCCTGCCACCATAACAGGAACAGAGGGGGAATATAAGCTGCAGTGAGGGGGTTAACATCAATGCTGTTATGTCCAGGAAAAGCCAGTTGTTCATTTAACCCAAAGGGGAGACAATGAAAGAAAGGTCCAAGCAAGATTTGACAGCAGAGAGCCAAGATAGTCTGCAAATCACAAGGAAGCAAACAAAGCTGGAGCCTGTATATTGCCAGACTATAGACAACTCCAGATAGCCAGCAGAGCTAGGATGCAATGAGTTTCAGTAACATGAAGAGCATCTGGAGAACAGACAGATCTGGCTAACCCTGGCATACCAGTTGTTAGAATCCCAGAGAATCAGCTGATTGGACAATATATGGAGGACCAAAGGACCAGTACAAAGACAGGACCACACCCCTCCTAAAGACAAAAGAAAGTTCTAAATATACAGGAAAGACTAAATGAAATCTATATAACTAATATTAAAAGACTGTTTAATAAAATAAAATAAAAAAATATATATATAATAAAACTACATAAATGACAACGCACAAAGCCACTGGTCACAGGACCACTTATCCCAAAAATATGTAGTCAAATTGCAGACCCCCTAAAAATACAGACTTCCTTTATTCTCCCTTTTAAACAGAACAAAAAAATATCATATGGAAAACAAATCAAGAACTCCTTTAACAATCATTTCAAACCAATAGAGGTACATTTACTGCACTTATTTAAAAAATAAAATAAAAAAATAAAAAGTGTAAAAAGGTTAGGGCCATAAACAAGAAAAAGGCAGCACAAGTAAAGCACAGATTTATTAAAAATTCATAAAAACAGAGGCTTAAGCACAGGTGAGTGGGACTGGGAAATTGAAAAACAGTTTTATTGAACTGCTGACAAAACAGAAATGAGAACGAAGCAACATTAGGTACAGCAGCTCAATGGTGCTTGCTATGACTTAGACATTCAGTTACTATTTCAGCTATCTTGCAGATGCAGGAACGAACACACAGAGGGCAGGTAGCAGATGACAAGATCCTGGAGGGTAGGCGAGTATACAGATGAGTAGCAGGTAAGGTCTCTGTTAGTTTAGGAACGATGAGAACAGACAAAGGAGTGCAGTTTGTCTGTGTCTTTATAGTGAGTGCTGATGAGGGGTCACTGAGATATATATATATATAAATAAAATAAGCGCACGCACACTATAAAACACATGAATACAAACAGGTATTAAAAACCCAAAACCAGACACAAGCACAACTGCACAAAAACATGAGCGCAGACACACAAGGGTCTAGAAACAAGAGTAATAAATAATCAATTCATATTTCCAAGGGAAACTCTTCGAAGATTGTATGGAAAAAGCAATTGCCCATCCAATTCTCAGCAGGACTCCACCACTACCTCACTTCCTGCGGCACCTCCTTAGGGAAGGAACACAGCAAGGTAGCTGCCAAGCACACTCTACCACAGGTTGGTTGGTTAAACGAGAATTGAGAACAGGACAAAATCTACCGTAAACTCCCACATAATGAGCAAAAGCCTGGTGGTTGTAGGTCAGCACTGAGACCAGTGTGACATCATGCACAATACAAACAGCACAGATGCCAGATATAACAAACAGCAAACCAGGTACACTGGCACCATCCTGGAGAAACTTTGGACAGTTGGTTTACTGTGAAAGCACTCCACACTTGCAAATGGTCAAACCGTAAATAAAGGCTTTAAAGCTTGGCAATCAGGAGAAGACACTTATCTAGGTGAGTGCTGAAGTTGTCAGACAAATGAGCTGCCATCAGAGAACAGGACCGAAAGAAAACACCCAACTCGAAGCTGCACAACTGAAATGGGACACGTCGCAAATGTCAAGTTAAGGTTGCTAACTACATGAAATTCTAAAGCATTTTGCACAGAATGCGTATCCAACTATTAGAGAAAGAAATTGGTTATCCAACACTTCTCCGTTTCTGGTGAGATCCACAAGAAAGTTAGGGAACAGAGCAGACCGTATATAATAGTCTTATATACAGCCTCAGTTGATAGATGTGTACTGGTAGATTAAAATCTTCAAGTTAGATCTTAACCAGCTAAGGCTTCTGAATAAATATTAATGCTGTAAGGGCACAAGTCACTGACTAAGGACAAAGTTCAAAAATACATTTACAGAATAACCCTAATGACAAATTGCATATGTAAAAGGGCACAAAGGTGCATAAAAGGCAAACTGAAAGGGGCAAAATAAAACATGTAAATGCAAAAAGGTCAAAAGTCACTAAAGTGGCAGGCAAAATACAGGGGAAACAGTATAAAAACAAGGGCATAGGCCGATGGGGCACAAATACCAAACAAAGCAGTATAAATACAAATAGCTTATGTACAAAGCTGATGTACAGTTGAAAACTCCACGAAAAAAATTTGACTTGCACAAATGGGACACAAATGCAAGACTACAAGGTATACAAGAGAAAGGCTTCAAACAAAAACACAAGCACAACAGCAATATGGCATCTCCATAAAATCTGTTAAAACATTTGAGACTAACAGGACAATACAACAATTTAATTTGAAACTTGGAAAAGTGTAAATAGTTCAAGTTTGATTTCTGTTGTAACCCGACCAATGAAACCTAAAACGTTACACTGCAAGTTTTTGGTTTTACATGTCAAATCCTTGGAAATGGCAGAGAGATTGTACACAACCACTAGACTTTAGTCAAAAGACTTCCCCCATTGGAACTGCATGAAGTGCAAATCTGATTGCCAGTTTGGATGCTGCATTTTCTTTACCGAAGAGAATTTAAAAGGATTATGAAATTACATGACACATAACCGGAACAAATGGAGTTTGTTCAACAAGTTGAGATTGCGATGTACAAACGTGAAACCCAAAAGCCATGCAAATAACCCATTTGTATAAAGAGATTTAAATGGTTTGAAACTGGACACTTCTTACAACTTAAGGTAAATGTCTATAACATTTTGAAACAAGTAGTTTTTAAAAATACTGAATCATGGACAAAGTATATGATTCTGCGGTCTCAAATTGGCCACTAAGGGGCAGTCAAGCGGATGCATTAAAAACAAGACCCGTATATACATATAAAATAGTAGAGTCTGAACAGACTCAATTTGAGAGCCAAAAAGTGCTCAAATTGCCAGTCAAATTAAAGAAATAGACATTCAAAAATGCGTAAAGCAGAAAAAAAAATCAAACTGTAAACAAAAACCATTCAAGAGCTTTAGCTGGATGAAGAAAAGGAGAATGATCGGCAAGACTTTGATTCAAGCCATTGAACTGAACATGTAAGATGAAAATGTAAAATAACGGGACACTGAACTGGGAGACTGTCTCTTAACCTTTGTTGAAAGAACCATGCTTTGAATTCCTTTCAAATTTAAGGATCAAGCACAAATCAAATTTAGTTTATAAACAAACACTGCTCACGTGCCCTTGCGTAAAACATTAAGGACAAAGACTGCAAGAAGAGAAAGACTGCAGATTCAAAAGAACAAAAGATCAGCTGCTGATCCATAGTGTAGGCTAAAAGTTGCTAAGGGAGTACATGTGACATTGACACCAATGACCACAAATAGAATGACCTATAAAAAGGAAATTACATTAATTAGAAATATTAAATGGCACGATATTCTATATAAACAACAAATACAATATAAATTGAACAAATACAATGGCTGCTGTGTTATTAAATTACCTGCCACATCTGTTGAGGTTGAAACGGACATGGAAGGAACAGCAGGATCAGTGGATGTAGGTGCTGGTAAGTGCTCCTCACCTGCAGAGTATGGAACTAATGAAAGATGAAAATTAATTATAAAAAAAAGTTACAAATATTACGTCATATTAGAAGGTAACGCAACAGTTATATATTTAAAATAAATAAAAACCGTCACGCAAGGCATGGGTTACCCATATAACTATTGATTGTTGAAAACTCACCTGCTGTATCAGCTGCAGCACTAGCGGCATTGATTGTGCCCCACCTCCAAAATCGCTCCTAGGGGATGTTCATAAGAATATAGTTAATTGAACAATGTTATTGTAACAACAAATGAAACACAGCAAGCCGTCTGTACACACACAATCTTAAAATGTATAGCCAAGTAAGGCACTATGATATCGGAATAGAAGTGAGGCGAATCATACTCGGAATTTGTTCTCTGCGTTTAACCCATCCAAGTGCGCACACACAGTAGTGAACATGCACCATGAAAACACACCCAGAGCAGTAGACGGCCATACTGCTGCAGTGCCCGAAGAGCAGTTGGGGGTTCGGTGCCTTACTCAAGGGTCTCACCTCAGTCGTGGTATTGAGGGTGGAAGAGCGCTGGTTATTCACTTCCCCCACCGACAATTCCTGCCGGACATGACAAACCCACAACCTCCTGGTTACATCTGCCTAAGAGCATAGGCAGATGTGGAAAAAAAACAAAGTGGTATAAAATACTAATGTTTATGTACAAAGCTGATGTGCGGTGTAAAACTACACAAATTTGAATTGCACAAATAGGACACAAATACAAGGCAAACAAGATGAACGTTTAAAACAAAAACAGGAGTAAGAAACGCAACAAATGTTGAGTCTCCATAAAAATGGAGAAAATGTTTGACACCAATGATCAACCCTCCAAGAGCTTTGAAATCTGGAGAAATGATTCTCATCGAGGCAAGGTGTTTAAGTTGCTAATGACAAGTGGGTTGCCCAAAAAAAATAAAATAAAAAGCACCAATCCAAAACTCAGTATCTGCTCCAATACTGCCATTTTATGCTGGATCAGGTATCGGTCAGATGAGATCAATCCAAATCCAATATTATGGGTGTACGGTTTTGTTATTGTTAAGACCCACGAAAGGCACAAAAACACCATAAAGATTATGCACTGTTTTCCAAGTGTTCTGAAGCCGACCCATAGTTTAATTTGAGATACAGATGAATATTCAAGTTGTTAAATTCAACTTCACAAACTCTTCTCTCCGCTGTGGCGGTTATCTTCCATTCAGGATTCAAACTGTGCGTCACGCTTTGTTATGACTGTCAAGACTATGAAACACCCCAAAAAATTCAATGTTCCTATTATTATTCTTGATCTGTAAAAAAAAGGTCAATGGTTTTACATTAAAAGTACTTGATCTTGCTGGAGTTTATTGCGGTTTCTAAATCAGGTTACTTACTACCATAATGTCCGTTAGATCACAACTAGAGTAGACCGCACTACGAATTATTCACGTGCACAGTAGCTGAAATTTAAAACCCATTAAAAAATAAACTCAAACTAATCGCACAGATAATACACTGCATAGAAAAGTACAAAGCACAAAGGGAAGAGCTATTGGTGTGTAGAGTGCTGCACACTGGGACTCCATGTTGCTTCAAGTGCATCATTCTGCACACTGGATGTTATTTTGTGCCACTCGGTATTGGAGCCTTTCGTATTAAAATACTTTTGCGCAATGAAAGCTGAATAGGCTCTCTTGTTCAGTCCTATTATATGTTGCTGCCTCATTACTGTGCTGTATATTTAAATTTCTCACTCCCGCACAGGCACAACAAGCTCAATTTAATGTTAACTAGGAGACTTTTGCATAGTTGGTTTCCAGTTTTTAAAGATTAGGAAACGTTACACCAAACCTCCAAGTTTCAGATGAGAGATCCGAAAGTAAACTTGCAACAAGAGTCTCTGTAATGTCCAAGGCAAGTTGATTCTAGCTATGGATGCTAGCATGAGGACTCAAATTGACAAAAAGCTATAAAACAAAAGGTGTAAGACATGTACAGAAGAAAAACTGATTAATAGAGCTGCATCACTTCCTGCACCTGAAGTAGAAGTAGGCGACAATCAGGAATGTGCCGAAAGCACATTAGAGTAGTAAAAGAGTAATATAGATAGCCTTATCCACACCCTTGTTTTGACTGGTCAAGATAGATTCAGATCTATAGAAGTTAAGTCTCAACAGAAGGCTGAAGTTTCTGCATTAGAGCTGATGCTGTAAGCAAAATCACTGATAGAGTTGTAAAGTCAAATTCCATAGCACAAGATACAGAACAATGGTTGCAAGAATACATTACGCAAAACAAAGGAATGTGCCGAAAGCACATTAGAGTAGTAAAAGAGTAATATAGATAGCCTTATCCACAACCTTGTTTTGACTGGTCAAGATAGATTCAGATCTATAGAAGTTAAGTCTCAACAGAAGGCTGAAGTTTCTGCATTAGAGCTGATGCTGTAAGCAAAATCACTGATAGAGTTGTAAAGTCAAATTCCATAGCACAAGATACAGAACAAGTGGTTGCAAGAATGCATTACGCAAAACAAACTTTCCTAGTCCTGTGACAAAAGAAGCAGAGCAAGGAGCAAGTTCATCTGGATAATTCGGTCACATCAGCAACCAGTTCAACTTCAATTCTACAAATGAAAAGGGCTGAGAAAGCCATTGTTGACCAAACCTGTTGGCTAACCCCAACTTGACAAAACAGCTTGCCTTGTGCATGCATGTTCAGTTAAGAGAACCATGAATTCCGGTTTCAAATTTAAGGATCAAGCACATAAAAATTAAGTTTATAAACTAGATGTTTCACGCAAAAGGCACTTGAGCAAAGATTGCAAAAAGACAAGAATGTTCCAAAATACACATTCAAAGAGGACAGTGCCACATCCAGCAGTTGCGAGAAAACTAGTACAAGAACTACTAGTTCAATAGATCATAAAACATGTGGGTACACTGGAGCCAAAAACAGTGAACACATTCTTGCTATAGTTCCAGTCAGGGACAGCCCAAGCCTTTATTGGGCCCAAAGCAGAATTTTATTTGGGAACCTTTGTGCCACCAATATGATTGACTACAGTCAATGCTTGATTATTCACACTATAAATCCAACAAACAATCAATTTTATTTGTTGTAGCCTTGTTGCTTACATCATACCAATGTCTGCCTGACATTTTACCCTTCTACGGTTTTTTTAATTGTAATGGCAACAAACCCACAAGAGTGGTCAGCTGTTAATTTGCACTTTAACATTCAACGTCTTACAGTATTACGTGGCATACTTGTGTACTGAAAAGTAGCCAAATAAACCAGCAGACAATGCATTTACTGTCAACAAGTTAACCGGTCAACGTTCCACTGTACCGCCCGTGGTACACTGCGTGTTTTGAGGGTTAACTGACATCTAAAAAAATAAAAAAAATAAACTAAACACTTACATTTTTGGAAAGCTGATATTCTTGATACGAAAGATGCAAACCATTTTAAGAACACCGCAGGTACAATCAGTGTCTGTCAGCCATTGTGTTTTCCAGCAAATAGCTCCCAGCTATAGTCATCTGAAATCATTGTTTTTAAAAAAAAAAATTCTAAAATGTTTTCCTTTTTCAGTGTTCTAATACGCCATAAATTGTATTACTCAATACCAGTAACACTCGCAGTGATTCTGAGGTTTGGTCAGTTTAGGAACAAACCTCAGTGTCACATTTTAAGAGACCAAAACCATGCATATACTCCAAATGGCTCAAGAACAGCACGCAATTGACATTGGGTACGCCTCAGTGTTTTAGGCAAATATTACAAAAAAAACAGTATCTTATACAAAAGAAACAAACAGACTCCGCTTGATTCCCTCCCCCATTAATTAATTGCCTGTAGGTGTAGTGGAAGCTTCGGCCATCAGGTTTATTTAGGAAATGTGAAGTTTTCCTTTTTAGGCAGTGACCCTCTGCTTACCAGATCAGTCCTTTCAGAGTCAGACAGAATAGATGACCACTCGACTGGGTCAACTGGAGGAGCTTCTGATCCATAGGGTAGGCTGAAAGTTGAAGGAGTAGATGTAATAGATCCCAATGACCACAAGTAGAATGACCTATAAATTAAATTACATTAAAATCTATACTCTTCAGTAAACTGAGCAAATACAATGGCTACTGTACTATTAACTTACCTGCTACACCTTCGGAGGTTGAAACGGACATGGAAGGAACATCAGGATCCTCACCTATGGAGGATGGATCTGATAAAAAAAAAAAACTAAAATAAAAAGCTAGCCATGTTAGAAGTCATTAGAAGGTACCGTACTATTAACTTACCTGCTACCCCTTCGGAGGTTGAAACGGACATGGAAGGAACATCAGGATCCTCACCTATGGAGGATGGATCTGATAAAAAAAAAAAAACTAAAATAAAAAGCTAGCCATGTTAGAAGTCATTAGAAGGTAATGCAACAATGTACGAAGAAAAAAACAAAAAAAAAAGTCATGGGTTACCCATAAAACTATATTGATCTGGGATTGTTGATACTCACCTGCTGTATCATCAGCTGTAGCACTGGCACTTGGGCCTGGTTGTGCCCCACCTCCAAAATATGTCAACAGAGCTCCTAGGGAAGTTTCACAAAAGGTATAGAACATTTTAAAAAAATTATTGAACCGAGTAAGCCATCTGTACACAACTTAAATCTATAGCTAATTGAAGCATAATGAGGAACGTCGGTTCTTCCGCAACAGACAACTTTTGGGTTCAAAACGGTTGCGTTCAATCCTTCGCTGGCTGTGCTGATTTAAATCTAGCCATTCTGTTGTGTTTGTGGCACAAGTTCAGTGACGCGGTTAGTGACGATTCTCTCCAGCCAATCAGTGATCAGCAGAGTTTACACGTCACATTTTGGCAACTTTACGGTTCACTTGGAACCCCAACTGAGATGGTACTTAAAGGGGAAAAAGAAAAGAAAAAAGTACCAGGTGCTGTAGACATGGAAGGAACATCAGGATCCTCACCTATGGAGGATGGATCTGATAAAAAAAAAAAAACTAAAATAAAAAGCTAGCCATGTTAGAAGTCATTAGAAGGTAATGCAACAATGTACGAAGAAAAAAACAAAAAAAAAAGTCATGGGTTACCCATAAAACTATATTGATCTGGGATTGTTGATACTCACCTGCTGTATCATCAGCTGTAGCACTGGCACTTGGGCCTGGTTGTGCCCCACCTCCAAAATATGTCAACAGAGCTCCTAGGGAAGTTTCACAAAAGGTATAGAACATTTTAAAAAAAATTATTGAACCGAGTAAGCCATCTGTACACAACTTAAATCTATAGCTAATTGAAGCATGAGGAACGTCGGTTCTTCCGCAACAGACAACTTTTGGGTTCAAAACGGTTGCGTTCAATCCTTCGCTGGCTGTGCTGATTTAAATCTAGCCATTCTGTTGTGTTTGTGGCACAAGTTCAGTGACGCGGTTAGTGACGATTCTCTCCAGCCAATCAGTGATCAGCAGAGTTTACACGTCACATTTTGGCAACTTTACGGTTCACTTGGAACCCCAACTGAGATGGTACTTAAAGGGGAAAAAGAAAAGAAAAAAGTACCAGGTGCTGTACCCAGTGGAAAAACCCCAAAAAGTGAACCGTACCATGCAGTGGAAAAGCGCCATTAGTCCTTTGTTCAAATCTAGGGCCCAAGTCAAAGCCCAAGATAAGCAGAGTATAGCTACTGACTTCTGAAAACTGTTTCATTACCAACATGGTTTACCCAAAATGACTTTCACTTGAAGTTGTCCAACTCGTTTGAGTTTCTTCTGAACAATCACTAACAGTGCACCACGGATTAACCATCTTTATAGTTCTTCCTTGTGCACATTGCCAAAAAGACTTGGAGCTGCTTACCTAACCCTAACTCCGGGGCACACTTATACATCTGATATCTGCGGTCAAGTGGCAGTGAACCCATACAAACAGACAACGGACCACCTTCTGTTGGCCTCTTTACAAGTCTACTTTCAAAAGTAATACTCCTAGCATTATATGAGCAGAGGTGGCACTGAACCAGTATGCACACTGAAGACCAGGGCCCGTATTCACAAATCATTATCTTACCACAAAGAGTTCTCCAACTGCTAAGTGTCACTAATTAAACAAGTATACATTCAGTTATTTGTCAGCCTCTAACATGTGCTTCTCAAACAATTAACAGATATGCTCATAAACGAGCTTTTAATTAACAGTAGAATAATCACGGCCGATAGTAAGGTGTAAACTTAAAAAGAAACACCAAACTGGACTCACGAACAGTGGCTACTTCTTGCCCAACTTGTTAATGAAAACAGTAGTCATAATACCCTTGTGATTAAGACAATACCTTTTTAAAAGCTCAGTCAAACTTTTCTAAAATGTTTGTTCCAAAGCAAATTGCCGGCAACCGCCTTTTTAGGATGGTTTGTGGCTTGGTCTTAGTGACTTAGGAGTCCCCTTCACAGATTTAGAAGCAAGTTTTAGTGCCAAAATGCTTTGTGAAATACTCGGAGCAAAAATGTATGGGTCTTAAATTTAGGACTGACAAGCACTTTTTTTTTTTTTTTACATTTACTCCCAAATCGCCAAGTTTGGAACTACTTTGTCTTAAAATGTTTTGTGAATACGGGACCAGTAGTCAAAGTTGAGTTTCAATCAGTTCAGTGAAGATAAGTTCTCCACATTTCCAAAGGCCAAAAAGAGTTAGAAGATCCAGCTTTGATCCAACTTCAAAACAAGTACAAGCAGGGGAAAAAGTAAAATTACCCACCACACATCACTATGAAAAGTTCTGGTCACATCTGAAGACTGTATTTAGTTTAGAGACCACACTTTACAGGAAACAAATACCTTAAAAGTCCCATTTAGATTAACTACATTAGCAGCCACACCAGACATTAGCTTATAATAAATGAAAAGCAGACACGGTGTCAAATCCTAGGATTACTTATCTGGATGTCTGTGATCTCTCCTGGAGGCTCATCAGGCATAGTAAGAAATTTGCACACATTTAACTTGATTGTAAACCCAGTGTTTCAAAACAAATGCATATTGGTTTTTACTTACATGTAACAGTCACCCATTTCTTTTTTCATTTTGCATGTGCATTGACGTCCAGCTGGTTGTCTGGCTTGACATGCTGGAGAACCAAGCCATCTGTGGTCGAACAAGACTAGAAGGACATCGAGTTGTGATATGACTTACCAAGGGAAAAGGACTTCCAAAGGGACTCAAGTCACCAATGGGCTGTCATCAAGACAGGATAGCAGCACGCTGATCTCAGTTGTTGCATTTCGAAGTTACAGCCAAAGACACAAAAACAAAATAAATCGAACCGCTCCCTATACTCACATGCATTTATAGCACACATACTCACTGTCCACAATGGCTGCACTTAAGGTAATTCAGGTGATTGAGTAATGTGAAAGTCTATCAGAGCACAGAGGGAATTGCAGTGTTGTGCAGATCTCCATGTCCGTCAACACCTTTCCACTCAGACAAAGCACCACATTTGGTTAAGTTAGTGTTAACAGCCAACCAGCAGCTGCACAGTTGGTCTATGGGTGCAGTTATACTTCTGCATTTGGTAAACGGGGGATGTATTGAAGACACATGGTGAGAACATTCACCCTCCTTGAAGAGCTAAAAACAGACTCAAGGTGTTCTTCAGAAAGGAAACACTGCTTCCAAAGCTAGACTGGTTGACAAGAGACTTTACCTTGGTCCAAGGGTCAAGCATACCATTTGAGAGCAAGAGACTGGAGGGTGTTGCATGAGTTGACCTGTTGGTGCAGGGACCAATATGGTCAAGGAAGAAATTTAAATGGAGAAGCTGCCAATACTTACAGCATCATCTCAGTAGGTGATTAAATTGCACAGAACTTACCAACTGCGACCAAGACAAAAGAATTGACCGCATCAAGAAATGCATTTTGGCATGATTAGGAAGTCATGGGATTATACTTAACATGCACAGTTGAGTGAGAAGTATGGGAGAAAGGTCCATCGAGGGCGAATACAGTTGCAGCGTTATCTGGGGACCAATATTTGTCAGCCTTAATGTTGCGTTGTCTCTGACCGGCAGAGATGAAAAGCAGGAATGACGACAGCTTTGTTGCTGGTTGCCCTACATAGTCACAGTCCAAAGGAGTGTGAAAGGCTGTGGTTCAGTACCGAAACAGCACAGCTATTGGAGAGAACATTGGTCTACAGAAGCAGTTAGAATTCCTTAAACAGGAAATTAAAGAAACATACAAAAGCAGGGTTAAAAGCTGCATTATAGACTAACTTTCTCTATAAAGTTAGGAAACCAAGCATACACAAGGTGACACTGACCATCCATGCCACTTCGTTCATTCAGCTTGAAAGGGAAGGGAAAAAAAGAACCTCAAACTCTTAACACTTCTTAGTTGTACATTCAAATATAAATATATATATATATATATATATATATATATATATATATAGTGGAGGCAGCAGAGACAAAGCAGTTAAATATTGATAGATTCGGTATAGGGTCTAAAACCATGGTCACTTCAGTAATAGAATGTAAGAGTCATGCTGATGCTCACAGAAGGGAAAAAAATAAATAAAAAGCATCTTATTTGAAGACAAGACACAAAAACCAAAAGGCTATTAATGTACAACATTTAAAAGCCACAAAATTGTAATACAACAAGACACTTGAACAATTTTACAGCAATAATCAAATTAGAACCGTCTACACTTCAGAAATTATAATTTCACCTGTTGGTGCAAGGTTCCTCA